TTGTACCTAATGTTTTTATTCAGCTTCCAATTATTTAAGTTATATCTAACTTTACTAATATAAGCATACCTACTTGCTGATAAATATTAAATATCTAAATAATAAAAAATAACAAATTATTRTAAATAATTGAACGACTATATAATTTATGAATTTTCAAATAAGCAAAATTTTACATTAAATTGTTATTATATAGATGATTATTTAAATTGCAAACTAAATTATACAATATAAATTTACCAAAGAATTATATTTTAATGCCGCTGATCAAGCAATTACCAATTCACACTTTTGTCCTGTATACAAACACTTTGTTTTTTTTTTTGTGTAATTTTGATTCACTAGGTACAAATATATGAGTGGATGATAATAAACTGTATTATGGCTATCTGAGTAAGATTAAAATTTTAAAGTTTTGTTTAGAATTGAAAATTCATGAACATAATATGTTTTTAAATTGTAAATAATTTACCTTAATTATTAAAAAGTATTATTTCTTCCACAACAAAATACACTAATAAATTAAATTATGGTAGAGGTACGGCTATTCAAATAATTTCATAGGTACAAAAACAAAACATCTACAATATCATGGAAAACTATTCTCGCGTCTCGYCAATAGCTGCCTAACGGTAGGCATCAAGGCATCAACGTAAAAATTTGTATTGGTGAGTGGTAACTGATGTAAACGAAACAGCAAAAGAGGTTAAGAATTTAAGAAACTACACACATAGCATTAAAACAGTACCTAATCAACATTAGCGATTAACCGCCTCGGATAATGGATATTACATAAAATATATAAACATATAATAGAGCAATAGTCGATATAACAACTACTATATGGCAAATAAGTAATAACCCTTAGATAATGGCTATTTTAGTTTATTTATAAATCATTCTAATGTAGCAACAATAATTATTTATGAGGAACATTATTTATAAAGAGTCAAAGAGATGATAATAAATAACGTTAGCGGTTAGTATGATAAAGAACACGAACTAATCAYAGAATAATTCTGTGAACTAATCGCTAATAACTGATATTTTATTATTGTCTTATTATCAYAGACCTTATACCACAGATTATATAAATATACAATAAGCACGATTACACAGTACTTATCACATAGACCTATTAATTAGTTAATATATAGGTCTATGACTTATCATAATTCATAATATCTTCTCACATCGTGCTTATATTAGGCACAGACTCTGTGATATTAGGTTCTATGATTAGGCACAGAATAGATTAAATTTAGTATTAGGTTTATGGATATTATCATTTGTGRTTCGTGATGAAAACAATCATGTACAATCAAATACTATTATGAAACATAATCGTTTTAGTGGGGCCATGCCTAAATAATATTTTGCCATGAGTGGGGCAAAGTGAGTGTTATATAGCTGTTTAATCGACAACTAATAAATTACCATGAAATTATAATTTATTAATCGTCTAACTGAAAAATGACAAATWAGATTATCAATATCTTACTGACCAGTGGTCTTCAAACTTTTAGACTAGCAACTCAATTTTCTTACCATGCATTTTTGCGACCCATGTCAACTTTGTTGGCCAAAAAAAGTTCAAATTGCATAATATCGTAGTATGCCATTGTAAAAAAGTTCGACCCATTGCGAGTCGCAACCCAATCTTAAAACTTACGCGAATCAAAATTGAGTCACGAGCCATATTTTGAAGATCACTATTATAGACTTTACTTGTAGTAAATACATATACGACAACGAAAATACATTAAATTTTGAGAGATGCCATGKTCTGAGGTGAACAATTTCCCTAGTGATTGCCTATTCATCCTCTTACAATACAAAACGTCAACTTTAAGGGATTTTGTATAGGCAACCACTAGTGACTTGATCGATATGACGCTAATAATAATTGACATCAGGTTTCCCGTATTGTCGTATAAAATATTTGACACTTTAACTATAGTGTATGGGCGTATGTCTCCATTGTTTACAGATAATAATTTAGTTTTAGATCAGTAACTCCCAACGTGGGCTCTACCTCCCCCCCTTGTGGCCATTTTTATTTTGAGGGGGCGCTCATCTATCATTTACGTTATTATTGTTTATAACTGATTAAATACTAAAACTAATTTAATATACCGAATGTAATATACRGAAAACAGAATTATGTAGATATAATATTTATAGACACTTTAATAACATCTACCTTGCGGCTTGCGTGGTGCTAAATAATTTATGGACGGCAAATAGATATTTTTAACAATTTAACTTATAACAGAAAAGATAAATGATGTAGTTTTTTTTGTTTATTTGTAATTTCATTTTTCTATCATTGCTTTAGTCATAGTTTAACAGTTTAAGCACAGAATTCTGTGGTATGGGGAAAAATCTTATTTCTTATAGATTTTATGGTATTACTCAGTTTTAGTAAAAGTACAAAACTTATTTTATCATCAGTAATTTTKTTCGTATTTAAAAAAATATTTTTATTATCTTGTAAAATTAAAATTTAGCATCAGCATATTAYATAATGCTGTTACAAGTTGGCTTACGTTCTAATTAAGATTATACATTTTAAAAAATACCATTATGCATGATAAAAACGTCATCCATTTCTGTTATATGTATATATCTGGTTTATTGTAATTTATAATTTTAAATTTATTGATAGGGCATGCTCATTCAACTGTGCTTCGTCAATGATTTGTATAATTTATGTTCAACTATGTGTCTATACATATCGTGTAAAAGTGTATGACGATATTTTGAACGTCTTACTATAATTAAAAACAATTTGTATTTTATTAATTAATATTATCAAGTTGAATTTATTAATTAATTTAAAGTAAAATATTTTTTTATTATTTAATTTTYGCATAAATATGTATACCTGCAATTACCAATAATACTTATACATTATAACAAATGAACGTCCATCCTCTAGGCCCTCTGTGGTATAATATTTACCACTATAAGAAACTTTTTGGTTTTAGTTATACATCTATTATCTATAAGTAAATCCAAACTTCAAAAACTATGAAAAATCAACAAGGCTAAAAAAAAATCATCGAAGCGTAGTTATAAGTATGTACTATTAAAGGTATATTGGTGTATATGAATATATATTATGATTATATGTTTTTCACCAACTTCCACACTTTCGAATATTATTATTATTATATCAATTTAGCAATAAGCTTCTAAACTAATCATGACAGTTATAAATTTTAATATGCTTAGCGAACAATAATTAAAATGGGTGATAAAATATTTTAAACACGGACATCTTAAATATTAATTACTATCATGAGTATAGTATAGGTACCATMATATACGTTCACAATGCTGCMGTCCTRAGGAAGAATGCCGTAAATAAAAAAATAAAATAAAATAACATTATTCTGTATTACGTTTAAAATWCCAGTTTTACACGTTGTTTTTAAGTATAAATGCCGTAACTATGGTTATTCATCGAGAAATGTGTGCTTATAACTCATATAAGAAAATAATATTTCCGCAATTGAAATTAAATATAATCGATGCTTAGCAAAAAAACGCCGTAATCACAGTTTTCTAGAGAAGATTGCAGTATCTTTTTTTWAAATACGGCGTTTTTACTTAGCACCATTATAATCTATATTTACGGCATTACTGTTTAGAAAACTGGTCGTCAATAAGCCGTATCTTATAATTTAATTTAACAATTTTGGAAAAATATAACGTTACATAAACAATAATTATTCATCTAAATTGTATAATATATTAAACTGCTGCATGTATCTCTTTTAATAATTTATTTTGTGTATCTCATAGTTTCATTTATTTTAATTTTTATGTATATTAAAAATGTATAATGACTAGATGACTTTGATCTCAAGATAAATATATTGTAATTACTTTCAAATTGTGTTATAAATTAAAACTAAAAATTAGTATTGATAATATACGGCGTTATTTCTTCAATATTGTCAGTGATTAGTACATTTTGGTATGCTGCGGAAAAAAGCCGTAACCAGAATTACGGAWTTTTTGCCAAGTAACCTATTCTAAATAATTAAGCACGTACTTGGGATGAATCAATCAAAACAAGCATATCTTGGTGAATTAAAAATTTCAAATAAAATTGAATAGTTCCGTTGCATTCATTGAGTATATTTCCGTAAGAAAATATGTATTTTACTTTGAAAAATATTATATTTATGAAAATAGAACTACCAAAAACTACTGAACATAAAAATGCATTTTTCTCGAAATGGCATGAAGGAAACTTACAGCATTCTCCCTTAAGACGGCAGAATGGTACATGGTAGATATTTTTATTTAGGCCAGTCGACCGAATACAAGGTATACATTTTCTTGCAAAATGTTTTCCCTCCAAAACCTAACAGCCACCCGGCTCGGTCGGCGCAATATCATGGTAGGTAAGTCCCTCACTACACCGCGCGGCGCGATTTAGGACATCGCACTGGCGCACTCGCGTCCRAACCAGACTTGCGCCCTTCATTCTTGTTGCAGCTTATTCGGAAATAGTAGCGTTCAATATAGGTATATAACGCCAGTGCCGTTCCTTTTTACAAACGTTTATTTTATTTACCTCGAGTTCGCAAACAAAACACTACAACGCAATAATATATTCGTACAATTATTGATCGATAATAATATACAATTCCTACGATCGTGATTAAAACTCGAATTCATATTATATACATAAATAGAAGTAGAAGTAGAAGTATTCTATTTTATACCTATAATGATACAAAAACGCGCACTACACGGAATCAATAAAGGGTGAGTATAACAGTGTAGGTACTTAGCTTGTGCAAGACAAGTAGGTACGTGTAAGATAGGTATCTACGACC